CTCCAAAATGTAACCCAAACCTATCTACATTTTTTCCATATCCACTACCATCACCCTAGTTCTGAACTACTACACTGTCTTAGGGCCTGGTCTCCCCTCTTCCACTCTTACACTTATAGATTTATCTTCTAAAACATTGGTAGAATGTCCCTTTTTAAAAGATAAATAAGATAGTCAGTGTTATTTCTGCGCTTCAGAAATCTATCTGAAAAGGTAAATAAGATAGTCAGTCTTTTATCTTTAAAAGGTAAATAAGATAGTCAGTGTTATTTCTGCGCTTCAGAAATCTATTTTTTTGGGTGGCAGAATAATGGCCACCCAAAAAAATAACCTCATTCTAATCCCTGGAAGATATAAATACATTAGGTTACATGGCATGGGGGAATTAAGGTTGCAGATGGAAGTAAGTAGCTAATCAGCTGACCTTATAGTAAGGAAATTATCTAGGTGGGCCCAAAGTAATACTTCAAATGTTGAAGATAGAAACAGAAAAAACAGAATCAGAGTGATACAATGTGAGAAAGATTTAATCAACCATTTCAGTCTTTGAAAATGAAAAGAGGCCATGATCCTAGGAATGCGAGCAGACTCTAGAAGCTAGAAAAGTCAAGGAAATGGATTTTCCCCTAACATCCTCTAAAAGAAATGTAGCCCTGTCAAACCTTGATCTTAGCTCAGTGATTTCAGACGTCTAATCCCCAGAAATGTGAGTTAATAAATTTGTGTTGCTTTAAACCACTGTGTTGTGGTAATTTGTTATAGCAGCAATAAGAAACTAATATACCTTCCTGAGGTGTCTCATTGCTCTAAGAATAAAATTAGAATTAAATAAAATTAAAATTAAGTTAAATAAAAATAAAATTAGAATAACAAGAAATAAGCTACATGATCCTTTTCACTGACTCCTATGACTCTTTCCACTGACACATTGTTTCATGGGGCGGATAAGAAGAGGGAGCTGGAACAACGTTGATCATTCTTCCATGGTTCCAAATGTTCTCATTAGAGCAGAAAGTGTGTCTCCATGGTGCTATATCAGCACAGGGTCCTGCATCAACACAGATATGTGGTTCTCAATTGAAATAATCACACTGCTCTAGAATTTAAGTTCTGGGGATAGGGATTTGGGCAGTTCTTTGCTGTGTCTTAAGGGAATACCTCAGAGATATGTGTAACCCTGATATCAATGAGGTTGTAATCGAGCTGCAGTAGAATAAAACTTACCGCCATGAAACACCAGAGTACCATTCAGGGCAAATTTTGAGACTCTAGAGTTGTTATATGGATAACAAAAGCTTGGGAGGTTAGGAAGAAAACAGACAGGTCTGGCCTAGAGAAGCTGGATAGACCCTAGTCAGGCCATAAAAGGAGAAGTAAGATAAAGGCAAATGGAGAAACATGGTGAGGCTAATATAGAAAAGGCAAAGGCCCAAAATGAAGAATGAAAGTGTCTTATTCAGAGAACCATGAAGAGAAGTGATTGGCTTAGGGATGGTACATGAAGAGAGCAGAATACAAGGAAATGAAGAGAACTTAAATGATGGAGAGTTAGGAAAGCCAAGATAAGTCATTAAAGAAGCAAATTTAGACTTAAGGTTGATAGGCAACCAATCAATCAATAGTGGTTATAACACTATAAACGATGGAGGAGTCCTAAAAAGAGAAGCATTATGAAAAAAAGAAGGGTTTTGGGAAGCTGCTTCTGGATCTGCAAGACAAATTTAAGGTTTATTTTTGTAACTACAGTATAAGGTTAAAGACACTGTGAATATAACTTCAAAAGAAGAGTCTACAAATTGTAAATTGTCATTAAAAAGAGGTGGAAAAGGCACTATTTTTCAACTTCTGCTCACAATAAGAAACATTTGAGGCAGCCAACCCCAGCTCAGTTCCTGCTTTCTCCATGAAGCCATTGCTGACTACAGCAAAGTGGGAACTACTACTACTAAAGTGGGAACTTTTTCTCCCCACTTAGGAGCTTGTTATTCAGATTAGTGATAAGGATAAGTGGCATGAACTTCAATGAATGAAAATCAAGTCATAGCCCTTAAAATTTGTTTAGAAATGGGCATTTGCCTTACTCTTTAAGTCTCAAGGGACACACTTAATTATTCCAATTTGGTATGTCTATAATGTTCAAAGGATTAAGTCTCTGAGGTTGTGCTGTAAAGTCAACGCCAACTAAATCCCCTTGGAGTTATTTCAAGTGTTTGAACCACGCTCTACCAGTGACATAAATAGTATCATTGACCTCTTTGTAGAAATATTCTCCTAAATGGCCAAGAGTTTCCTTGCTGGATCCACTTAAAAAATTAACATCAGGCAACCAACTGTCCTCTCTAAAACACATATCAGGAAAACCCAGGTGAGAAAGAATTTAACAGTTATTTTTGCTAGTAATATTGGTCTTCTGAAACATTTCTTTCTCTAAGTTATTTAGAGTCATTTCCTTACTATACCAATTTTTCAGTTTTTTAAGATTTTTAAAGTCCTTTTTAAAATCTAAAGTATATCTGTGTGAACACTAGACAAATGACTATCATTCACTTGTATCACTTCCGAATTTAAGAGGAGCCTAAATTTACACAAAAATAAATAAGAGCACACTTTTGTAGTAATAATAGAATATATTAGTGAAGATTTTGAAAGCTCTTTGAATAATGTGGTTGGCCATAGTACCTAACAACTTGATGAAATGAATTATTAATCTCAACAATTAAATAACATCCAAAATTTTTGTTTGGGTATGCCTATGTATTAAATTAATTATATAAGCAAGGACTATAATTTCAAACCAGTCTTTTAAACCCCCATTGTGATTTTAGGGAGTTTTTAATTACTCATTGAGTCTTAGAGAAACAAAATGTCAATGTAAAAGTTATTTCTGTCTAACGAATTATAATCAACTGAGAAGCCTGAAGGAAATCGTATGTTATGCGACTTCAAGCTGGCAAGAGCAAGGCAGTTCATGAAAAAATTATTCAAATTATATAGATTTCAAATGTTCTTTTTTATATATTGTTTTTAAAGTAATCTGAGATGTGAAACTCAGCAATATTTCCAGGAAACCAAAAAAGAAGAGATCTTCCTATATCTCTCCAAAATGCTTTTCCTCTGTTCCTGAACTTTGGGTATAAGAATAGTCAATGAATATCCAGAAAACTGTCAATCTGGAAATGTCTAGGAGGGTCAGCTGACCTTGTAAAGAAAGTCAATACAGCAGGCATCTAATACATATCAAATAAATGAATAAATGGTTCCCAAAGCAACAAAAATAAATGAAATAAAATGTTCCCTAATAGGTAATAACTCTGCACATCTGGACATATCTAAGGAGTAGATAAAAGAAGTTTTAAAAATATCCAAAACTTTAATGAATGTGAGGACCCTAGCATCTAGGAATACAATGTAAAAGAGTAAAAGTTGACACCAAAAAATTACTACTTCCATAGAGGAAGGTGACCTAAAAAGTGCATTACCACATGATATGAGTATATTTCTGAATAGTTTGAGATGCATGCAAGATTGTCAGCAAATTATTATTATTTATAACAGTGAAGCCATTATTATGAGAATGGAGCAAGCAATTACTCAATATATCCACTGCGACATTATTCACTATAGAATTGTAAAGTGCAAAAAGCATCACTTGGCTCCCCAATGATTATTGCAGATTTATCAAATTATAAAACATAGCAGACCTAAAAGTATGTTATTTTATTTACTGAATAAAAAATGTGTTTTGTGTAATAGTCAGTGTAGAGAATTTGAAATAGAGAAAATTATAAAAAATTCATCTATAATTTTTACTTCACAGAGAAAACTAGTAGTAACATTTTGATGTATTTCCACACTTCCCTTTTTTTAACTTTCATATGTAAATATTTATTTGGAAATTGGGATTAGCCTATATATAAAACTTTCATTTTGTTTTTTATATAATATTTTTCTATTTTGTCATTACAATGAATATTCTAAATAAACACAATTTTCAATGATTGCACAATACACCATCATATGAATAATTTATGTTTACTTTATCATACTAACTGAATGGTTACCAACATTTAAATGTTTTGAATTTTTCACTATTATAAATGAGATTAAAATGGACACCATTTTACATAAATCGTTGTATAAGATCCTAACTATTTCTAATAGATTCACCGTTACTGAAAAAAGGGTGTGAACATTTAATCGTTTTTTTTAATTTATTACAAATTATTTTCCAATGATTGCACCAATTTATCCTTCAACGAGCAACACAATTAGTAAAACCAGCAACCCATTTCACTGTATTCTAGACAGCACTGTATATTATCATTTCTTTTTAAACATAATTTTGCCATTTTGATAGCCAAAATAAATAGAGCCCTTTCAAATGATATTTTTGATGAGTAATCAAGTTAAATATTTTTAATTTGTAAGAAAAGAAATTATATTTCCTTGATGTTTTTCTGTTCCTGACATTTACCTGTTTTCTATTCCTACTGATTTATATAAGCTCTTCACAGAATACAACTAGAGAAACAATATCCTATTTATTGCATATGATCTCCCAGTTTTTGTTTGACATTTGATTTTTATTCATGATTTTTGACATATATAAATGAATTTGTCAATTTTTAACCTTTAAGATTTCTCAAATTTCCTTTGACACCATTTAAATTTTTTTAGGCACATGCACACATGAATAATTTCAAATTGTATGCTAAATGGCATTATAAGTAACCTGGAAGATTTTTAATATAGCCTTTTTCTTTTCTTTCTCTCATTTCTCTCTCCTCCCTGATTCCATCCACATCACTTTTCCTCCCTACCCTAAAAGGGTAAAATATCTTAAAAGTAGCTCCTTTGTTTCTAAAACATTTTATTTTTAAGTGTATACTCTATTAGCATTAGAGATGATAAATTACTAAGAACATGCAACTGAAAATAGTCTTTAAATTTTTTTATTATGGCAGAAAATGCATAATATAAAATTTACTATTTTAGGCATATGTAAGAATATAGTTCAATAGAATTCAGTACATTTGCATTGTTGTACAACCATCACCACCATTCACTCCAGATCTTATTTCCATCTTCCCAAACTGAAACTCTGTACCCTTTAAACAATAGCTCCACATTCCTACCTCCCTCTGACAACCACCATTCTATATTCTGCCTATATAAATTGGACTATTCTAGGTATCCCCTGCAAGTGGAATCACAGAATATTCGTCCTCTTTTGTCTGTCTTATTTCAGTTAACATTATATCATCAAGGTTTATCCGTATTCTAACATATCAGAATTTCGTTCCTCTTTAAGGTTGAATAATGTTCCATAGTATGTGTATACCACAACTTATTCATCCATTCATCTGCCCTTGAACATTTGGGTTGTTACCGCCTTTTGGCTATTGTGAATAATGCTGCTATGAGCATTAGTGCATTAAAATAGCCTTTAAACAACATTGTTCATCACTATACATACAGACATTGAAATTGTTTAGGAACACTGATACCAATCACTGACAATTAAATTGTGAATCAGTTTCACCTAACCCATATAGAGAAGTTTTGTACTCTCAATATTTCTCTCAAGACTGCAAAAGCCATCTTTGAGCACCCAATCTGATGTTCTTCAAGATATGCTGGAAAGATATTCAATCAATAGCCAAAAAAGAAATAGTTTCAGGAGATTGATTTTCCCCCAGGACTGGCCATACACCAAAGTCCAAGTAACATGTGGAAGCATTGGTAAGATCCCCCCATTCCCCATTTTCAGCCAAAGAGAGCTCAGTACTTGTATTAGGCATATTATAAATTAGTACCTCATTTCTCCACAATTTTTTTTCAGAGATATTGGGTATGGCAGAAGAAAATTGTACCATGAAAAATGAGTTTATCCTGGCAGGATTTACAGATCACGCAGAGATGAAGATTCTTCTGTTTGTTGTATTCTTTTCCATCTATCTGATCACCATGGTGGGGAATCTTGGTTTGGTGGCCTTAATTTTTACACAACGTCTTCTACACACACCAATGTACATTTTTCTGGGCAACCTGGCTATTGTGGACTCTTGTTGCGCCTGTACTATTATTCCTAAAATGTTAGAGAACTTCTTTTCTGAGGACGGAATTGTTTCCCTCTATGAATGTATGGCACAGTTTTATGTCCTTTGCACCGTTGAAACTGCAGATTGCTTTCTTCTAGCGGCAATGGCCTATGACCGCTATGTGGCCATATGCAGCCCACTGCAGTACCATACCAAGATGTCCAAGAAACTCTGCATTCACATGACTACAGGAGCCTTCATAGCTGGAAACCTGCATTCCATGATTCATGTAGGGCTTCTGTTTAGGTTAATTTTCTGTGGATTGAATCACATCAACCATTTTTATTGTGATATTCTTCCTTTGTATAGACTCTCCTGTGTTGACCCTTATGTCAATGAACTGGTACTGTTCATCTTTTCAGGCTCAATTCAAGTCTTCACCATAGGTAGTGTCTTAATATCTTATCTCTATATTCTTTTTACTATTTTCAAAATGAAATCCAAAGAGGGAAGGGTCAAAGCCTTTTCTACTTGTGCATCCCATTTTTTGTCTGTTTCATTATTCTATGGATCTCTTTTTTTCATGTACATTAGACCAAATTTGCTTGACGAAGGGGATAAAGATATACCAGCTGCTATTTTGTTTACAATAGTCGTCCCCTTACTAAATCCTTTCATTTATAGCCTGAGAAATAAAATGGTAATAAGTGTCTTGAGAAAAATTCTGATTAAACAAACTCAAGAAAAACTGAATCAAATGACACCTACCATAGCTTGATGTGAATGCAGCAAAAACTTCCATGTAAAATTACAGAGGATATGCACAAACTGTATGTAAAATATTAATATATCATAACCCATTCAAATTAAGCAGCAATATGTAAGAGTAAAATATACAGAAAGGAATAAACTATGCTAAATCTTAATTCAAAATAACAAAAAATTTTGAACTCATTCATGTAACAAGTTAGTATGTTCGTAAGCACAAGATCTGCATCAGCATCAGGAATGATCAGCATCCAATAGATAACAACAAAACTGGCAATTACAACTATAGACAACCATTCCATTAATCATTGATAGTTAGCCCACTTGAATGGTTTAGAGTGTGAGCATTCCAGTTAAGCTCAAAAAGTTTAAGGCCATGTGAACAGTCAACAAATAAAATCACTTACAACCATGAGCAACAAAATTGTGGCAAGTGAATTTTGAGAGAGCAATTTCAATAGCTTTGTGGGAACATTATTGTAGTTAGGATAGAGACAGTGCAGAAATGAATGTGTCAAATAAAAGTGAATATTATATTTGCAAACTGAAGCTGTTATCAAATTAAATTATCAAACACAGAATGCCAATCTTCAAGAGAAATTACATTAAGACAGTTTAATCTGCTACCATAACTACATCCATAAAGCTACCAATAACATAAAGTTCCGGATAAACCATTCAAACCTCATATAGAATTTGAAGAGCCTTCATTGTCGGAGAGATAGGCCAAACCTCTCTGTGACCCTTCGTGAGGAGTAAGGAAGGAGTTCAACAATGAAGACACTACCCTGTGTATGTCATATATAGACATGAAGGAAAATATGATTGTTGAACTGTGGACAGGGCTTATCTAAAAAAAATTATTTTTTCTTTTCACCATTGCAAACTATGAAGTAGAGGATTGTGAGTAGACAATGACCTTAATATGAAATCATAAAAAATTACTTTCTAATTTTTCATTCAACATATACTTATGGATATTTGCCATGGAGAAGCATGATTTTAGGTGCTGGGCTGTATCAGTGACCAAAACACCACTTTTTCTAACTTCTTAAATGATAGAACATTGCTACAATTTTAATTACCAACTTCTGAATCAAGGAGAGTACATATAAAATAAAGGAAGAAAATTCCACTTCCACGTCCTCTCTTGATGCTCTGAGATCATGTCTAAATTCCCAGAAGGCAATTATCAGGTTGCAGTTGTCCTCCGGGCTAGCCAGACACCTAAGGCTGACTTCGCACAGAAAATCAACACGTTGAGTCTGTATAGAAAAAACAGTAGTTATGCATATATGAAATTTCCAATTCTCTAACTCACGAATGTAAAAATATAAATATCTAGTTTCCATTTATAACCTCCAGAAAACCTAACCTACCTCATTACAATTATATTTCAACATTTCCTTGTTTGTTTCAAATCAAACCTACCAATTCAGAATTTGTAAAACAGATACTCATTTAAAAATAGAGTTATGAATGACCCCCCCAAAAAAAAACCAGAATTTGTCCAAGACCACCTATCCTTTCTTGGTTGCATGTAAATGTGCAGGTCCTTCGCTGACATCATGGCGCTGAGTACAGGTGTCATGTTACAAATGAGCTCTGCTCAAGCTGTGGTCCTCTGATATGTTTGAACCTATTTGACTCTTGGGTAATCTCTTCAGGCCACCATCACTTTACATACCTACATCCATGTCTAGTCCCTAGGCTAAAATGATTTTTTAGCTAAAATATCTACTTATCCAGTCCACAAAGCATTAGGTCTGCTGGCTCAGCCTCTCCTGCTCTTTCTCAGCTAATTTCTGAGTAAATTCTCTTGATTTCCTTCTCTCAGGAACCAGAGAATGTTAAAGGGTATCATTATTGCACTTCTGATGATGCACAATACCAATACAATGCAGGACTTTGAAAGCTTTCATGGGTCCCTCTTGAAGGTCCCTTTTGCACGTAGGACACCAAACCACCCTGGACAATTCTGTGTCACCCCGTCTCCTCTGGGTGATTGACCATTAGCCTGTCTCCATTCCCAGGACACCCCCTTGGACTTAAGTCACAGAGCCCCACCTCAGGGAACATCAACTTTTCCCCTCTGATGTTCTTTTTCTCCCAACTCAATGAATCTTTACTTTCAGGGTGGTACCTAGCTCTCACATCATTACAAATGCTTCCCAAATCTACTTTTATGGAATAAAATTGGACTTAAGAACAGTGCTTAAAGGTTAGACTCTGTCTTTGTTTATTCTCTCTGCCTGGAATTTCAAAGATATATTTAGGAAAGAAAAGAAGTTAGGATGACACTGTGGTGCTGCTCTGGTCTCCCTCTTAAATTGATAAATCTAAGCTGCCCAAGCTGCTCTCTGATGTGGCAGAGATGGTCATTGAGCAAAATAAAATTTTACAGGATTCCTGTGAGGATTTCTGGTCATAAGAGAGAAAACAACTTACGAAATAAATCCTTTTAAAATCTTGACCAATATCTGATAGCAGGTATGATAAACAGATTTGTTTAGGGCTTTATTTAGAAAAAAGAAACTAAAATATATGAAAATAAATATTTTATCTCATATTTAACTAAATTTTAGTTATATCCATAAATGTATACTAAATTTTATTTACTTCTTTTCATTTTTAAATTTTATATTGTTAATGATTATGGGTACGTAATAGTTATATATGTTTATAGGGTACATGTGATATTTTGATACAGTCATAGAATTTGTATTAATTATATCAGGGTAATTGTATAGTTTCTACTGTTTCTATTGTTATTCATTTCTAGTTTTATTCCATTATGTTCAGAGAAAATACTTGATGTGATTTCAATTTCTTTGAATTTTTAAGACTTGTTTTGTGTCTAACATATGGTCTATCCTTGAGAATGATCTGAGTGCTTAGAAGAATATGTATTCTGTAGCTGTTAGATGAAACTTTCTGTAAGTCTTAATATCTATTAGATTCATTTGGTCTACAGTGCAGATTTAGTCTGATGTTTCTTTGTTGGTTTTCCGTCTAGATGACCTGTCCAGTGCTGAAAGTGAGGTGTTGAGGTCTCTTGTTAGCTGTGATAATATTTGCTTTATTTACTATATGCTCTAGGGTTGAATGCATATACATTTAGAATTATTATATCCTCTTGATGAATTGACTCTTTATCCTTATATTATATAACGACATCCTTTATTTCTTTTTATAGTTTTTGTCTTGAAATCTATTTTATCTGATAGGTGTATAGCTACTCGTGCTATTTTTTGGTTTCCGTTTGCATGGAACATCTTTTTCTGTCCCTTTATTTTTTAGTCTGTGTGTCTTCATATGTGAAGTGGGTTTCTTGTAGACAAGATATAGGTGGGTCTTATGTTTTAATCCATTCAGCCACTGTATGTCTTTTGATTGGAGAGTTTATTCCATTTACATTCAATGTTATTATTGATAGGTAAGGACTTACTACAACCATATTGTTATTTGATTTCTGGTAGTTTTGCAGTCTTCTCTTTCTTTCTTTTCTACCGGTCTTCCTTTGTGTAAAAGTGATTCTCTCTGGTACTGCATTTTAATTTATTGCTTTTCATTTTTGTGTATCTGTTGTAGGTTTTTGATTTGAGGTTACTATGACTTTTGGAAAAAAAAAATCTTATAACCAATTATTTTAAACAAATGAAACTCTGCTTATAAACAAACAAAAAAACAAAGAGAAAGCGAAAAGAAACTCTGCACCTTAATTCCATTCTCCCACTACTTTTTTACTTTTTGTTTCCATTTACATATTTTTATATTTTCTAACTCTTAAAAAGTTGTTCTAGTTATTAATTTTCACATGCTTGTCTTTTTAGTCTTCCTACTCAAGATATAAGTGGCTTATACACCACGATTACAGAAATGGAGTATTTTGTATTTATGTACTCACTGTTACCAGTAAGTTTTACGCAGTCTAATGATTTCTTATTGTTTGTTACTGTTCTTTCTTTCAGATTGAAGAATTCCCTTTAGCATTTCTTGTATGGCAGGTCTGGTGTTGACAAAATCCTTCAGCATTTTTTCCATTTGGCAAGTTTTTATTTCTCCTTCATGTCTGAAGGATATTTCTGAAGGATATCATAATCTAGGATCAGGGTTTTTTCCTCTAGCACTTTGAATATGTCATGCCACTCTCTCCTGGCCTGCAATGTTTCCACTGAGAAGTCTGCTGCCAGATGTACTGGAGCTCTTTTGTATGTTATCTTTTCTTTTTTCTTGCTGCCCTTAGAAACTTTTCATTACCCGTGACCTTTGGGAGCTTGATTGTTAAATGCTTGGAGGTAGTTTTGTTCTATGACCTGCTTGTACTTGAATATTGATATCTTTCTATAGGTTTGGAAAGTTCTCTGTTGTTATTTCTTTCTACCCCAATGTCTCTCTGTCTCCACCTCCTCTTCAAGGCTAATAACTCTTAGATTTGCCCTTCTGAGGCTATTTTCTAGATCTCCTAGGTGTGCTTTATTCTTTTTTTTTTCTTTTTCCTCTTCTGACTGTGTATTTCATGTAGCCTGTCTTCAAACTCACTAATTCTTTCTTCTGCTTGATCAATTCTACTGTTGATAGACTCTGACACATTTTCCAGTTTGTCTATTGAATTTTTCAGCTTCAGAATTTCTGCTTGTTTTTTTTTTTATTTTATTATTTCAATCTCTTTATTAAACTTCTCTGATAGGATTCTGAATTCCTTCCCTGTGTTGTCATGAAGTTTACTGTGGTTCTTCAGAGCAACTATTTTGAAGTCTCTATCTGCAAGGTCATGTATCTTCCTCACTCTCTGATTAGTCACTGGTCCTTATTTAGTTCATTTGGTGAGCTCATGTTTTCCCAGATGTTCTTGATGCTTGTAGATATTTGTTGGTGTCTGGGCATTGAATAGTTGGATATTTTATTCTGTTCTTCACAGTTTGGGTTCATCCTCCTTGAGAAGGCTTCCCAGGCATTCAAAGGGAATTGAGTCTTTGATCTAAGTGTGGTCACTGCGGTTACATCAGCACTAGGGGGCACCCCAAGCCATTAACACTGTGACTTGTGGATTCTTGGTGGTCTTACGTAAAATATGGAAGAGTTCCC